CTAACAAAAATGGCGCAGGCCCTTTTATAGTCCCCTTGCAGGGAAAGCGTCAGCCAATCATTCCATGGCATTCTCCCGCCTTGCGCATGCGCGCAAGGCTGGAGACAGCCTGTCTGGTCCCGGGCAACCACATGGTCTGCCCGGGCCTTTCTGCAGCTTTCCTGAGCCTGCTGAGTCATTCAGCAGGCCCAGGACAATAACAGGAAGCAATTCAACTTTGGACAGAAAGGGATCTTTTAGAAACAGGACAGTTAAATGGAAAGTTGTGATTAAGAATGTGACATGCTTATTGCTTAGCAAATTGTTACATTTCTATAAGCAACAAAGTCCCTGAAGTGTGTGTATTTTTTGTTATCTAGGACCTATTGGTTACTTAACTATATTTGACCAAAAGAGGGATAGAGAGATAACAGACTCTGATATCTCTGATGTTATGAATGAAGCCACTTCAGAATGGAAAAAGAAATTGGTGAAATGCCAGTAACATTTAAAAGTAAAAGAACTTGTGTAAGTACAGTTTGATGACAGATAACAGTGAAGTATTGGTTTCTCTAACGGAATGTGAAAATGACCTTGGAAGATGGGGTGGGGGAGAGATGCTGCCTAGGGAACGATCAGATAAAAGGAAAATGATCCATCTTAACTAATCAGATCATTAAAAAGATGGTGGAGATTTGTACTTAGACCTACAGGATTTGTACTTAGACCTACAGGATTTGTACTTAGACCTACAGGATTATTACCTAAAAGTAGAATTAGCTCATCTTGTTGTGTTTCCTGTCTAATCTACTTGGGAGGCTGTCAGTTTCCAAGCAGTTGATGTAAAGTGAGACTGAGAGGTATCTTTTCTTTTCCATTTCTCACAGTGATCTGTCCTTTTCTATATGCTTCTTCTAGATCAGGGGTGTCAAACTGGTGGCCCGTGGGCTGGATGTGTCACGTGCAGGCCACACCCACCCCAGCTCCACAAAGGCAAAAAATGTGATACATCACGATACGCCACGTGATGCGATCGAGTTTGACACCCATGTTCTAGATATTCTTGTTAGCTAACGAACAAATGCTATCAACAAGTAGGGAATGGCTTAATCATATGAAATCTCTCATTTGAAGGGCAAATAATGGAGAGGGACAGGGATTAGAATCATTGCAAGTGCTAAATTTTAACAATTACACATTTACATTAACGTATAGACATTAATATTTAAGAAATCAAATCGATACCCCACCATTTAATATTTTTATGTGCCCTTTATTCAAAGACTGAAACAGCCCTTGGACCAATAAAAATCGTGCCTGGCTCTCTTCAAGGGGACTCTAGAGCAGCTAGGAGCTCCATGTTGGATGGCAGCCAGTGCTCTGAAAAAGGACGACATATATCTGTTCCTTGATCATAGTATCTCCCAACTTGATCAAAGGTCAACAAAAGAAGGGGGTGCCACATTGTTTTAAAAAATCAGTTGTATTACTTAATGATTTATATTACTCCCATGAAGATAACAAGTAACAACTATTGGGGCAAAACTGTCTCTTAGATTTATAGGCTATGCTGATTGGGAATTCTGGGACATGTCTGAAGGGTGTTATAGATGGCTGCTACAAATTCCCTTACATAAACTGCCTTAGTATTAGAAATTTTGGCTGAGTGTGTTGCCAAAAAAACTCATTGGGCTTGTCCATGTAGGTGTGTCAGCTTTGCTGGGTGGATTGCTTATTTAGATTTAGATTTAGATTTTATTAAATTTATACCCCGCCCTTCTCCCGGAGGACTCAGGGCGGCTTACAGCCAGTTTAAAACAATGATATAATACAATACAAACTTTAAAAAAGATTAAAAATAACTATTTAAATTTGGCCGCTTCTACTAAAAATTTAATTTAAAACCCCTTTAAAATACCCCTAGGCCAGTCC